AGGCCTCCTGGGCTATGCTGCAACTTGTCATGGGAGGGGAGCTGTCACCTGTGAGCACAGTACTCACCGTGTTCCCAATGGGCCACTTGACACATCAATGCTGGGCATCAGATGTCAGATTCTTCCATGTTAAATCACTTCCCTAACTCATTTTCATGAAGACATCTCTGTGACCTTCTTCAAGCCCTGACCTCTCTTCGCTTCCTCAGGCAGTTGTTTTCCACTACACTTATGGCCCTGGTCTACCTGACTTTCCCTAGCAGGAACAGAAGATACAATATCATAGAGCTGTTCTGTTCAGCAGACTGCACAAACAAGCAGGCAAGAGGTAGTGAGGATGAACATATGTGCTCTATGCATGTGTGTGAGCACTAAAATCTAAAATAATATTTTAAAAGAGCTTTTAGCAAGTTTGCAATACAGCTATAAAAAATGAAAAGGGGAATGTTAGCGAGACAAGCTCTTTCTCTTTTCCCTCCCAGACCTAATCCTATGAGGTGGACTGCTGGAGGATGGGACCTACTTTGGTTTCTATGGCCAAGAAGGTACAAGTTTGGTGTGATGTCGCCTCAGGCCTCAGGAAGGGAAAGTTAAAGCCCTTTCCTGGGTAAAATGGAGCAGAAGTTCATGCTGGGGATGTTGGACCCTCCTCCAATCACCATCTCTCACATCACAGCTGATGTAAAAGCATGAGGATTTTATTAATTCTGTCATGATAGGGTCTTCCAGCAGTCAGGAGGCTAGAAGACCCTGAATGTCTGGTACAGGCTATTTTTAAAGGGAAAACCCACAGAAGGAAGGGGTGTCTGGGGGTTGTGATTAGCTTATTCAAAAGGGCTATTACCAATAATTGGCTGGAGAGCAGTTGCCAGATCAGATGAGGTAAGAAAAAAACATCTGAGGGTCACTTTGCCTCTTTCCCAGGGCCTAAGTCAAAACATCAGTCACTGAGTTAATACCTAAGGGTATCAATAACTGAGTTCTATTTGGAGAACATTCACAAGGACTCAGTGCGATGATGGAACGTTTCCAACATTTCAGTATGTATGTGGGCAATTGTTAGGTCCTTGGTTCCCAGCGGGGGGAGCGGTGAGCATTACTGCTGTGACTGAGAGTTGTCAGAAATGGCTTCAGAATTGTCTTAAAGTTCTACAGGGAGAGCCTGGAGGTGAGCTCAATGTTTTTTCAGGAAATCAAGTGAGAAAGGAAACTTGGCTTCATGACAAATCTCAGGTGTCAGGATCCCGAAGAAAGGGACTTCTGTAAATTAAAGCCAGCCTGGGTTACAGAAAGTGATTCTGCCACAATGAATGAATAAACACATAGATAAATGAAATAAAAATTAAATGTGAAGCGTGTGTACTAGTGCATGTGCTGTGGTCTACTGGAAGATGGGAGGGTAAAGGCTGAGTGACGGGGAAAGCTGGAGAGGCTGTGATCTGAGGTTGGGGAGGGTCAGATGGCTTGTAGAGCGGAGTGGGATAGAATAGCCTGCTGTCCTGCCCTGCTTTCCTCTCGACCCTGTGTGTTCTATACAGTACCTTTTCCTCTTTGTGGTCTGGAAAGGGAAAGGGTGGGGTGCTGTCTTAAAAGCACCATGGCCCAGAGACATGCTGGAGAGAACCCTGGACTTGGGACAGGAAACTATATAGAGCCATTATGGCCAATCAGGACTCAGGCTCCTCCATGCTGGGTCCCAGTATCCAGGCTCCCTTGGTCAGATCACCTGCCAGGTACCCTCACAGGCTGACCAGTAGAACAACTGTGTGGAGCTGCAGAGCCTGGGTGCTGTGAGCGAGCTTGGTGACTCCAGCCCAGGCCATGACTCCTTTTTTTCAGGCCTTGCAGGAAGGAGCCAGCAAAAAGATTTAAGCAGCAAAAAGAAATTAAAGCTCTGCCTGCTCAGACTGAAACTGCTCTTGTTTCAGTAAGAGTTTCCAGTTTTGTTCCAGGGCAAACCCAAACAGACCACTTCCAAGCCTCACAGCCTAAACCATTACCATTCCAAGCTTCAGTTTTTCCAAGTCTGTCCAAGGTCACTCACTCGGGTCCAAGTGGCTCTGGTCCTCATCTGGGTGAGACCCTGGTCCTCTTTCATCCCACATGGCCATGGTCCCTTCCCTGCACTCACCCTCAGGCTAAAGCAGGAGAAATGGGTGAAGAACACTGAAAGCCAAGAGGAGGATGCCTGCTGCCATTGGCAGCGTGCTGCACCTACTGGCAACAGAAAATTGAGGTCAACTGTGTGGACTCCTCCCACATTCCTCTTCATCCTGCCTTCCAGCTTAACCAGTCTTTCAAGGAGAAATGCAGCTGAAGCAGTTAATGGCACAACTAATGTTTGTTGTCTCTAAGTCACTCCAGTGCCCGCCCTTTGCCAGGGAACTTAGAGAGAAATCACAGCTTCTGTTCTGTGATGTGAATCCTCCACCTGCATCCCCCCCAAGGAAGCACCGATTAAACACAATCATCTCCTATGTCCTTTGAGTTTCTTGCTAGAGCCGTTATGATTCCTTTCAACTAATTGCTTATGTGCCATGTGGTCTTGAGGTCCTGCTGCTGGCTATGACTATGATGTGATGTATTTGTCTTCTACTTTGGGATAAAATTTTGTGTTATGTGTGTTTACACAATAAATTCCCCAAAGGGGACTAACTTAAATTGATTATATGAAAACAAGAGACTTTGTCAGTCTCTTGTTCGGCTTTCAATTCAAAGAACATTAACAAAACTAACAATTTTGTTATTATAAATGTGACTTTATACACACTTGACCTAATACAAATTTCATAAAACAGTGTCACGAGATATTGAGTGCAGGTGCCCTCCACACCCTAAGAGAATCCACAGAAACTGGAGTTACAAGTAATCCTGAAACACATGTGGTTGCTGAGAATTAACTGAAACCCTGGTCCTCTGCAAGTTCAGCCAGTGCTCTTTAACCAGTGAGTCATCTCTCCAGCCCCTAAGTTACAGCTGAAATTAATTAACTGATAACAGTATGAAATTTAATAGCATTCTCCAACTAAATAAAAATTATTAATCAGGATGGCTATGCTAACTGTATAGACTCAAACTAAGATTATGTCATATGTCTTTTTAGTTTTCTGTTAGAATGCTTGTGAACTTTGGGCCTTATTAATTTGGCTGTGTGACTTCTTTTGCAAGTTTTGTTTTTCAAGATGTAATTTCTTGGGAGTAGTGCTTGTTATGAAATTAGGTCTGTAGACCAGGCTGGCCTCAAAACTCTGAGATCTGCATGCCTCTACCTCTCTTTTATCACAGATCTGCTGTGGTTAAAGGTGTGTGCCTTCACACATGGGTATTTGTAAATTCTTTATAATGAAGTTTTAGTAAACTTACATCCGTTCATAAAACACAAAAAGCAATCAGATGTGGCCTGTGTCAAGAGCTTTGTGACGTTGTAGGAAAATCCTAAACCACATCAAGAGTTTTGAAAATGAAAATACAACAGAAAGTAAAGAGGAAATATAGAGGAAGAGATCAGAAAACACACACAAAAAACCCCCCACAAAATTAACCAAGGCACAACCACAAGAATATGTGTAAGTTTACTTTCAAAAGCATAGGGGGTTGGATGTGATAGTTTATGCCATTAACCCCAATACTTGAGAGGAAAACAGGCAGATCTTTGTGAATCTTTAGCAGCCTGGTCTATTCCAGGCCAACCAGAAACACAAGGCGAGAGAGTATGCTTTTCAAAAAACAAAGCAAACAACAGCATAAAACAAGAACAGATTTGAAAAAAAGAAAAAGAAAGGTAGAGGTTAAAGAACAAATACCCTGTTGGTGAAGACCATTGCTTTTGTTTTCACTGAGCTTGTTAGGCTCTTAACTACTTAAGAAATGGAGTCTAAATTTGAGTCAAGCTAATTTTGCTCAAGGTTTAAGTGTTCTAAGATGGTTGAATTCCAAAGGATGATCTGTTCTTCAATACTAGTGTAACTGTCCTTCTGCTCCTTCAGTCCACACTTGGAAGCTGATGTGGGTGAGATAGTGGGGCTAATAGTCAAGATTTTGTCCCTTGCTCCCACGTCCTCTAGGTCTCAGGTGAGCAGGGAACACCTCTAAAACACCTATGGTACTGATGAGCTATCAGTAAGAGGAGGAGTTATCACAGAGGGAAATGGTTTCTATGCTTGCAAGGAAACCACACAGACAGTAATATCCTAACCCATTCCAGCAGAGGATGCTGTGAAGTGAGGAAAATTGATGGAGGCAATGGTGTTCTCCTAAGTCCCCAAAATAACAAATAAGGGACCTCAATTAATCATATCAAAAAAGGGTTAATTTGTGGCACCTACATTGTCTTAAATACATCACAGGTATATTAGAGTTCTCTATATAGCAGAACGTATAGAATGAATCTCTCTCTACATATATAAGGGGATTTATTAGAATGAACTATAAGCTCTGGTTCAGCTATGCAAACAATGGCTGCCTATTTATGGAAAGTCCAAGTATCCAGTAATTGTCCAGCCCATGGGGCTGAGTGTCTTAGCTGTTCTTTAGTATATGTTGGATCCTGAAGAAGTGGGTTCTAATGCCAGTGAAGGAATGGACTTGCTACCATAGGTAGTAGGGAGCAGGCAAGGATACAGCTTCCTTCTGTCTCGTTTTATACAGGCTGCCACCAGAAGATGTGGCCCTGATTAGAGATATGTCTTCCCACCTCATAGAAAGTGTGGCTCAGATTAGATGTGGGCCTTCTCACCTCAAAATATCTAGATAAGAGGTTTGTTTCCTCCCTCAAAGATCTAGATTAGATGTAAATCTTCCCACTTCAAATGATCCAGTTAACCAAGGAATTCCTCATAGGGGATTCAGCCATTTTTGTGGTTTGGTTAATTCAGGATGTACTCAGGTTGAAAACCAAGAATAGCCACCAGAAGACCATCCCTTGTCAACTCGACACACAATCATATTTTATTTAGTCATGCTTAACTTCTAAATGGAACAATAATGAGGTCATAATTACATTTAACATAATATAGCTATCATTCATACAATCACAAATACTTTATTAATTTAGAATAGGGGGCGATGTCCCTTGAGGGGCATTCTCTTTGTATCTCAAACTTAAATATGATAAGTATTGATATTCTCTTAATTGGTATTGTATTACATGATAGAGATATCAAGGGAATAAAACACAAATATTTGTATGAAAACATTTCTTAGCAAAATATGAAGGAACACTCATGTCAGTTATGTTCAGGTGGAATCTCCAGCTCACGCCCACTCCTCTCTTTCCAAACCCCATCCTCTCAGAAAAAAACATTAAACAGTGGTTCCTCCTCTGAGGCTGCCAGCTCCACAATCCCCACCAGAAGCTTGTGGAGGGCACACCACCACCATCACACACGTGGCACATGCAGGGTAGTTAAGCCCCCTCCTTCAGAAAGGCCATGTGATTTCTCTCCTGCTCTGTTCCCCTGCTTCATCCCTGGCGCTGGAGCATCACCCTGGAGTGCTTTGCTAAAATACACTTGGTCGTTTACTTTTAAATTCAGGTTTATCTGGCTTACTGCATCAGTAGAGAAACTTATTACTGGGGTATGGAAACCTTTCTAATTATAATTCTGTTTCTGCAAGTGGCCATGTTTCTTAGTGGGTATTTATAACTACCTTCCTCTACAAACCTTCTGAATCTCCTCTACCGCCAGCAGCCACCTCAGCAGGTCTTCCTGGAGGAGCGACCCATACCTTCATTCCTTTCCATTCTGCCAGGATTAGGCTGCTGTTATTTCCAATTGATTTTAATCACAGAACATGGTAGCACCAAGAGATGCCCTAAAGGATCTCCCTGCACTCCCGAAATAATCTTTCTTACCTCCGTCATGGACAAGCAGTGCAATTTGCTCTTGGTTATCTAGAGCAATCACCTCTCCTTACACTGTTATTCTTTTCTTAGCCTGTAGCCTTCAGGGAATCAGAAGCCAAAAGTGGCCAGAGGGGAGTCTGAGCTTTCAGTTGAATGGAATGTTTGTTTTGGCTCCTGGCACGAGCATTCTCCACTATGAAACTGAATCTTCTAGGTCAGCAGAACTTAAGATTGCAGGAGCAGGAAGCAAAACTTTCCCAAGTGGGTCAATAAGGGTGAGAGTGAGTGGATCTATTCCCTTTCTGCCATGTGGTACCTGAACCCATGGATCCTGGCTATGGGAGAAATTCTACCATTAATTGGTAGCTGATTCAAAGCATATACCACCTTCTGGAGGTCCTATCCCAGCCCTCCAGGCTGCTGCCATCTAGTTGGCACTATAACTGTGTCTTTAAAAGACCATTCCATCTTGTTATTAGACCAGCTGCTTCAGGATGGTGAGAAACATGGTAAGACTGTCCGGGTCCTTGGGAAGTTCCCAAAAGGCCTCGAGGCAATCAGCAAGTGTTTATTAGATCATAAGCGTGTGGGGGTTGCACACCTATACAAAATGGTGATGACCTCAAGAGGGACATGTAAGCTTCTTTTAAAAGCGCAGCTGTAGGAATTTTAAAAGCAATTGGACCAATCTATTTAGGATTGGTTTCCACGAGTGGTAATTATATTAGTACATTTCTAATTGGTTAGGGCTAGTGGGGTGGTCTGAGGCTATTGCTCTTCCATTCTTGGACAAGTTCAAGGCTTTGTCCTTATTCAGTTATTACCTGTGTCAGGAGGAGGGGTGTCGACCCAGGTGTACATGCATGCCTCACCCAGTGTCAGGGATGTTGGTGATTGGTTTTCCTCTGTTTGCGACAGGCAGAGTTCTTTTTTTTTTTTTTTTTTTTTTTTTGGATTTATAAAAGAACATTATTTAATTATATAAAATTCTCCAGCAGTGACATTTAGAAGAGGTTTTAATGGAGAGAAGGGGAACAAGGTGGTAGCTTAGCAATATCTCCATCAGCTGTTACTAAAGACACACAGTTATACTAGCTATTTAGATGCCAAAACACAGCCACAAATCTGAGGAAACCAGGCAAAAGTATTCAAGATCTTAGGTAAATTGTAAGAAAAGACCAGGCTGCAGCTTTCTGATTGCTTAGGATATATAGCCTGTACTCATATACACATTGCAAGTATGAAAGAAAGAATTGCCACATGCCTTTAACCCCAGCACTTGGGAAGCAGAGGCAGGTGGATTTCAGTGAGGTTGAGGCCAGCCTGGTTTACATGAACTAGTTTCCAGGACAGGCTCCAAAGCTACAGAGAAACCCTGTCTCAAAAAAACAAAATAGAAAAGTATTGCCTTAAGTCATTCCTTCCTTAATTCAAAATAACATAGCACAAATGAAGGATAAGAAATTAAGTCTAGGTATTACAGTGAAGTCTGGTGCCAGGACTACCATGGTTAAATCTGGTACTGGAAAGATTAGTCTCCTGTCCAGTGCTAACCCTACCTACTACAGGCAGAGTTCTTAACTGAATTATCAGAGGCCTGTCATGACATTTGCCTGGCCCACTCAAAGACAACTGGATTCCTCAGTTTCCATTTACTATGATTAGTTGTTAGAGGTTTCTTTTAGTGATACCTGAGATATTTGATTATTGCCAGTTATATGCAAGAGTAAAACCTTCACACTTCCACTAAGGAGATCTGGTTATCCATATGGTTTCCTATGCTTGGGATGGGTCCATAACCACATTCTTTACCAGATCTCAACTTCCATGTTAAGAGCAAATCCCACCAGGGAGCACAAGAGAAACAGTACAAGGTGATAAGAAAGGCCTAAACGAAGAGAACAGAGTGAAAGACTCTGAAATGCTGTGTCTGCAGCATCCTGATTCATCTGGTGGAGGCTGATGGAAAGGGAGAGTGGTGGCAGATGAACTCTCGGAGCTTCTCTGGAGCATCTTCAACCTGCAGCAAGGAAACACATCTATTGAAGGGTCTGAGGAGACACCTGGGTCAGTTCTCCTGGGTGCCCTGTACCAGTCATCACCACCCCACAGCCACCCTCACTGAGTGTCATTCAGTTCCCTCCTCTGTTACCCCTGGGCTCTCCATCCTGGATCCCCTACTGTCTTCCTCCTTCTTTCCCAAGTCCCAGAGCCCCAGACCCTGCTGCAGACCTGGAGTTCAGAATGAAGTGGTGATGACTAGCTCTGCTTCCTGACTCAGGGCATGATGGGAGGGCCTGGAGGAGCAGGAAGGAGCCCTATCCAAAGAGGGCCCTGGGTCCTGGTTTTCCAGGTCTTGAGTGGGGTTCCAGACATCATTTCCCTTTCTTTCTAAAACTCTCAAAATCTGACAGTGGCATTACAGCTATGGGTGTGACTGTGGCTGCCCTAGCTTGTCCATCTGAGCAGCCCAGATGGGAACAGTGGACTTAAACACCACCTTAGTCCACCGGCCTCCAGTGGGGACACTGCTACAGGGGTTCTAGAGGCTGCTGCTGCTTGATTCACTTCTATTTTATGTGTATGAGTCTGAACCTGCACATCTGTAAGTGCACTGTGTGAATGCCTGAGGACTGTGCAGAAGAACGGGCTGGATCCCCTGGACCTGGAGCTGTATGGTTGTGATTGTCCTGTGGGTACTGGAAATAGAACCTGTGTCTGATGCTTGAGCAGCACATGTTCTTGTCACCGAGCCATTTCTTCATTTATACCTTTTTAATTTTATCTGTGGGGTGGAATCCTCTTCCTTCTACACATTGAATGGGACTACCATGTTCTTCTGTGTTCCTGCCTCCACACCTGCATCATGGGATCCTCCTGATTGGGAGCCTGATCTGAACACAACACCTGCTGTGTTCCTTACTCATTTCCCACTGCTGTGTGACATGATTCCTGTCCTGTCAAGGCTGAGGATGCACAAGCTATTGCTAGCAGGTGACATCAACTCCACATCTCCTGCCTCCTTTCTCAGTAAGATCCTAGAGTTGAGGGACAAGAGCAAGATCCCAGGAATTCACTCTTGCTTTCCCACTTCTCCATCATCTGTCCCTTACACCAGTAGTGTGCTCGGTACCTGCTATTGCAAATATTGTAGGAGAAATAGGAGAAAGCTCATGAGAATTATCAGCAGGACAGAGATGTTGGACTTGATGGCCATGGACGAAGGCTGGACCACAACTGGAGCAGCAGCTGGTGAGGCTGAAGTGGAAACACAGTTGAGTCTTTGTCCAGATCTCAAATCTAAGGAAATCTCACTTTAGCTTCTGGGTTCTCAGGTCATTCAGCATCACACAGCATTTCACCCCCTGCTCCTATGGCTATGCAACCATTGTTTGGGTGGGTTCTAGGTAGGAAGGGAGAGGGCATATTCCCTGACCTCAAATGACTCATGGAACTATGGTAGGGGAGCAGGGTAATGAGGCCTCAATCTTTCCTACTGTCAGGAGAGGAGCTACCTGTGAAGATGGTGTCAGGGAAGAAGAAAGATCAGGGGAGATGAAAAGCAACAGTGAGTCTAGAATGGGGAAAAAGAGAGAAAACACAGGGATGCTTACAGTGGGACAATGGTCTGTACCCTGTCAACTGTATTTTAATAAAACGCTGATTGGCCAGTAGCCAGGTAGGAAGAATAGGCAAGGCAATGAGAACAGGAGAATTCTGGGAAGAGGAAAGATTCAGTCTGCATTCATCACCCAGCTGCAGAGGGCCTGGCTGATATGAGGTACTGAACCATGTGGCTAGCGCAGACAAGAATAATGGGTTAGCGTTTGATATAAGAAAGAGTTAATAAGAAGCCCGAGTCAATAGGCCAACCAGTTTATAATTAATGTAGACCTCTGTGTGTTTCTTTGGGACTGAATGACTGCCAGACTGGGTAGGACAGAAAACTTAGTCAACAGATGCTCAGGCTGACAGTGAGAACCACAGTGACTAAAGAACTGATGAGACAGAGAAGGGGAGAAAGGAAATGAATGATGGAAAAAAATGACCATAAACCCAAGAACTCATGTTGACTAGATTATTACACCACACACACACACACACACACACACACAAATCCCTCATCTCCAGAAAGTTTCCTCCTTTTCTTCCCAGTTACCTCTAGACTCCAGCTTTTCTTCCCAGTGTGCCTTGAACTCCTCAAGCCAGGACCTGCAGTCCCCCTGTGATGTCATGTATAAGAATTCTGTTAAATACTTGTTTTCTTTCAACACTGTTTCCATCCAGCTGGATCCAGGATCAACTTCAACCCACTTTTTAGTGTTTAAGTCAACATTTTCTGTCCGTTGAGGTCAATGTCACAGGCTTCTTTGCCATGTTCACCTCCTTCACTCCTACAACATATTGTGGCCTGCAGAGTGAAGGGCTCTGTGCCCATTGGAAAGAGCTTAGCCTATGCCTTGATGAATCCTGTCCCTTCCCTTCCCATCCTCTGACCTTGTCCTACCCTTCACATATTAGCCTTGCTCCTGGGACTCTTAGGGACAACCAGTGATTCATTTTTTTCTATGAAAATAATGAATGTCCCTAACCTGTCACAAGTCCTGTTCTTTCCTCTAGGAGCCATCTGATTGTTCTTTTATTTAATTTGTAAAGTGGGAATTGTACTTAGCGCAAGCACATTGTCACTGAGCTAATCCCCAGCCCTGTGTGGTCATTTGAAACTCACCTCTCATTGCATTATTCTCCAGCTTCACCTGAATGCCCTGATCTGATGTAGGTCAGCTACATCTTTCAGAGTGCCAACCTGTGCCTCCCAGGGCTTTGTAGCATCCAGTCTGTTCCCCAGAAGACCAACAGCATGGCAGTTGTTGTTAGTGTCACAGGAAATAAAAGTCTCTTCATTCAGTTGGCCTTGGACTTTGTGCCACCATGGTCCAGACCCTGACTTGCCAACAGTGAAACTGTAGCAAAGAGAAGCAGCATCTGTGAAGGAAACATGCAGTGAGGTTAGGGATGCGCAGCAGGGGCTCAGGGACAGTCTCTGCCTGTGGAACAAACATGTCTTTAAAAAACAAAGAGATAAATAAGTAAATAAAATTATATCCCAAATTGCATTTGCACTGTGCTAAAAATTTTATCTATTCTTTCTTGTTTGAAGACACAGGTATAGGTGTGGCCAGCCCTGCTCTCTACCAGGACAATTCTCTTCTCTGTTATCACATGATCTTGCTAAGGGTGGGTGATGTGGGAATGTCATATATCAATCTGTTGATTTCATTGGTTAAGCAATAAAGAAACTGCTTGGCCCTGATAAGTTAAAACATAGATAGGAGGAGTAAACAAAACAGAATGCCGGGAGGAAGAGGAGTGAGCTCAGAGACGCCATGCTCCCCTCTCCTGGGCAGATGCGATAGCTCTGCTCTCTGAAGCAGACATGATGGAGCAAGCCGCCAGGTCAGACATGCTGAATCCTTCCCGGTAAGACCTATGCTACACAGTTTATTAGAGATGGGTTGATTGGGATATCAGAATTAGCCAGTAAGGGCTAGAGCTAATGGGCCAAGAAGTGTTTAAATGAATACAATTTGTGTGTTATTATTTCGGGGCATAAGCTAGCCAGGCGGCTGGGGTGCTGGGGACGCAGCCCCACCGCCCATATTACAACAGGTGGGCCCTGTCAGTTATGACAGGAAAATTCAGGATGTCTTCTCAGGATCTGTTCATCCTGGAGAATCTCCAGAAGCTGCTCATGTAGACTGTGTGGAGACAAGATGGTGCGTGAGGCTGTGGGGCAGAGTGGAGCAGGGTGAGAATGGAACAGAAGTTTTATGGACACCATTTTTACTGCTCTGTACTCTTAGATCATAAACTTGAATATCTTTGCTGGTTAGAGTCTACTGCCAGTTTGATCCAGCCTAGGCTCACCTAGGAAGGGAATGTGTATTGAGGGACTGTTTTGAATGTTAATGATGTGGAAATGCCCAACCACTGTGGACATTACTATTCCTGGGGCAAGTGGTCTCTGGCTGGATTAGAAATCTAACTATGCAGGAGCTAGAGAAAGAGAGAGAGCAAGCAGCATCCTCCATAGTTCCTGCTGTGCCTCTCTGGCCTTGAAGTGAGATACTTGGTCCTAGATAATGCTGTGTGGAATAGCACATGGGTCTGCCTCTGAGTACCTGCCCTGACCTCCCTCAGTGACAGACTATGGCTTAGAAGTAGGAGTCAAATAAATAAGTTTCTCCCTTACGTTGCTTTGGTTGAGTGTTTATCACAGCAACATAATGAAACCAGAGCAACATGCACCAGATCCCCTGTATACTGCAGTGGTTCAGGGATGGCTTCCTGGACCTGGTCAGAGGCTAGCCCACACTATACTATAAAGAAAATCTAGGCTGGTTAAACCTGACCGTAGAAGAGTGGGATCAAAAATCTCAGAGAAGTGCATGTGCCAGAGTAGTTGGAACAGCAAACATTTCCAGGGGAACTGTGCCGAGTACATGTTGTCTGTGGATGCTGGAGCATCCCTGCTGAGAAGGGCACCAGCATTGCTGGAAAGTTAGAGATGGTGATGCTGACTCAAGGTTGGGGTGGGATTAGGAATGGTATTCCTGAAACCTAATAACATGGTACAAAATAATCCCACTAGGTGGAGTGGTCAGGAGCAGTAACAACAAGGACAGTGGTCCATAGATGAGTTAGGGGGACCCACCTTGAAGCCAAACTGCTTAAGGGAGTCATGGCTCACAGAACCGAAAAATCCTAAATATAGATAATTGCTTAGCCAACCCAGATGTGGCTGAATTTTAATAACTAAAGATTAAACAGATGATCAAGAAGCTGAAAGCTGCTGTCCCATGAAAACCCCGACTCCTGTGCCCATTGTTTAAACGGAAGCACTGGGGCTAGAGAGGTGGTGCAGTGGTTAAGAACAGTCGTTGCTCTAGTAGAGGATCCAGGTTTGATTCTCAACATCCACACATGGTGACTCACCACTGCCTGCAACTCCAGTTTCAGAGGACCCACTGCCCCCTTTTTATCCTCTAAGGGCACCAGGTACCTATGTGGTGTGCATACATACATGAAGTCAAAATATAAATCTGTAAGACAATTTGAACCAGACCACCTCAAAGACAGACCCAGATTGCCTTCCTATGGGGACAGATCAGGTTCCAACAAGAGGGACCTTTCAGCCTGGCAGCAAGTGCAGTCATTTTTTCTCCATTGCTACTGCTCTGCCACTCAGGTATCAACCCTGAGACGCTACTGTGAATGTCTAGTGTGGCTATTTGAATGATCCTGTCCTCTATAGAATAGGGTGTTTAATACTCATTCCCTAGTTAATGGCAGCTGTTTGGATAGGAGGTAAGCCTTGCTAAATGAGGCATGTTGCTGGGGGTGTGGCTTTGAAACCCATTGCCATTTCTTCATCTCTGGATCTTGCTTGAGGTTTAAGATGTAGGCTCTCAGCTGGGCATGGTGTCAAATGCCTCTTTTCCCAGAACTTAACAGGCAGGAGCAGGTTGATCTTTATGAGTCTGAGGCCACCCTGTTCTGCATAGCGAATTCTAGGACAGTTGGAATTATAATGTGAGACCCTGTCTCGAAAAGCCAAACCAAACCATATCAAACCAAACCAAACAAAAAATATATGAGTTCTCAGCTCGCTGCTCCAGCTCCCATGCATGCCTGCTGCCATGCTTCTCTGCTGAGAATGATGGACTCCTGTCCTCTGAAAATATAAGGCTCCCTAAACCCTTCCTTCTGTGTGCTACCTTGTTCATAGTGTTTTATCACATCAGTAGAAAAGTGACTAATACAGCTATGTTTTCAATAGTGATATCTTTGCAAGTCAGATGGTCTCTGTTATACCTGCTTATCTCTTTTCCTCTGGTTTGAAAGCAGCCAGAGACAATACATCCACAAAGAGCATTGCTGTGGAATAATCATTTTGTACACTACGAAGATGTGCTGTTGCCAAGGTGCCTTCTTGTTAGTTTAATGAAAAGCTAAACTTCCATTAGCCAAGCAGGAGGTATAGGTGGGACAGCTAGACACGGAGGACTCTGGGAAGAAGAAAGGCAGGGTCTCGAGAAGACACCGGGACTCAGAGGAAGCAGCATGGGCAGTACAGAGCAAAGGCAAAGCCACGAGGCAGAAAGTAAGTTAATAGAAGTGGGTTGATTTAAGTTATAAGAGCTTAACAAGCCTAACTTATCAGCCAAGCTTTCATAAGTAAAAAGAAATCTCAGGGTGGTTATTTAGGACTGGCAGGTGGGACAGAAAAACCAACTACAGAACATGACTGGGCCCGCCCATAAGGACCTATGGCCCAGGACCCAGGGTTGTCTTAAGCTAACTGATGTTAGAATACCCGGCTCAGTCCCTAGGCAGCATCATTTCCAGGTAGGGAGTGCTGAACTACATGAGAGCAGAACAACCTCTCTAAGCAAAAAAGGCAACATGGGTACGTTTCTCTCTCTCTGATCTGGATTATAAACGTGATGGTTTAAGTTCTTACTTATTTTCTTTCATAATGGAGTATAGCATGGAATTAGATGGTAAACAAAGCCTTTCTCCTCCAAGTTGCTTTTGGTCATCGTGTTTTGTCACAGCAACAGAAGTGAAACCAGACAGAAACTGGTCTCAGAAAAGTGGGGCTATTTCTGTGATAATCTGAATGTGGTACTTTGGGGGAGGAACTGGGGTGGGACTCTAATTTTGGGCTGGAGACTTACCAAACATTCTTTCAGAGTTTAATGGGCCATTCTCGTGGACCCTTGGAAAATAAGAATTCTGACATGAATGTGGATGATGGATGGCCAGTTCCATAGGTTTTCGGTGGGGGCAAGGACTTTGCTAAGAATCGGGATGGAGCTATTAGTGCGGTGTTTGGGCTAAGAATCACTGTTTCCCCATCAGGCAAGGGTTGCAGAATCATCTGTGATTAATAAGAGATCAGCACCACTGAGGGACAATAGGTGTGGAGAACAAAGAGCTTTGTGTACACAAACAAATAAGCACTGGAGAAGCCTGGAAAATTTAACACACAGCTTACATATTCAATGGAATGAGGGGAGGAACTGCTTTTCCTGGAACTTTAGGGATGATGTCATTTTGCAACCTGGCTGATCCTTTGGTGTCTGATGAGACAGGCTCCCAGAATCTATGTTTTACTTAACTTATTCAGGAACTTTCCTCCTAAATCTTGAGCATGCTTTTAGATTATAAAGCCTGCTTTTAAGAGTGATGTCCCTTGTGCTTTACAACAGCCCTAGTGACTTCTGTGTCACCTAAGGGCCATTAAACTCTGAAAGAATGTTC